ATACAGACACACTGACTGACTGGACACTCCAGTACATTAACACTGCACTGAGAGAGAGGAGTTCATACAGACACACTGACTGGACATTAGGCTGTGTCAGTGTCAAAGTTGTGTTGTGTGTGTACTTACCCTGCGGGCCTTGCTCTGGTATTTGACAGCCTTCTTTGTGTCAGACACAGCTCTCTCCACATAGTCTACTGAGTGCTCCACGTTGTACTCGATTCTGTCTATCATCTCGCCCTGTCAGACAAACACACCAGCACCGTCAGTGCACAACACCTGGGAGAGACTCACACTCACATACACCCACACTGACACACAGTCGCACACTCTCACTCTGCATAGAATTCAGATCAATGTGTCATATCCTGTGCTTTCTGTGGGAGTAGCTGGAGTTGAGATAGCAGTTCTTGTCTGAACTACATTCCCCAGAAGGCAGTGGGAAATGACCGGCTGTCCGCAGTCACCTGACCTGTTGGTGGAATACAATTGGTCGGGTGATATTTAAAAACAAGGAAGCTGAAGCTCCCAGCTGGTCATCAGCACTCTGCAGAGAGTGGAGCCTGTTATTCACTGTACCAGACAGGAGAGAAAGAAGGAAGTCAGGAAGTGACAGTGGACGATTGTCTTTACTGGGTTTTGGAAGAAGGGAAAAGTACTTTTTTAGATTTTGTAATTAGCAAGCTGCCCGGCTACTGACAGAGTAATTCAAGAAGAGGCACAGCCTTTTATTGTAAATAAAATAGCACTGTTCTTATTAGAGCTGCATTTACTGTATGCAGGCAGCACAGCGGCACAGCAGTGAGCACTGCTGCCACACGGCGCTGGGGCCCCGGGTTCAATTCCTGGGGTGCTATCTGTGTGGAGTTTGCATGTTCTCCCTGTGCTTGTGTGGGTTTCCTCCTGCAGTCTGCTAGGTGAATTGGCTCCTGGGAAAACTGGCCCTGGCGTGAGCGTCATCTGCCCGCCCTGTGATGGACTAACGTCAAGTCCAGGGTGTATTCTGCCTAGTGCCTGTTGCTTGCTGGAGGGGGGGGCTGTTTTTGTACACCCCGCCTGCTCGTACTCCCCTCACACGAAGCCCCGGCCCCCAGATGTGTCACACAGCCCGTGAGGGGCTCTCTGAAGCAGAGTACCGGAGCGGAGCGGGCGCACCTGGCTCTCCACCAGCATGGCCATGTCCACAAACATGTCGTGCAGCTCCCGGATGCTGTTCTCCAGCTTGATGATCTCGTTGTGCCTGGTCTCGATCTCGTTCAGCGCCTGCTTGGTCATCTGAGAGTCCATCTTGATCTGGGGGGGGGCAGAGGGAGAGGGTGTATTAACGCTCGAGCCAGGCTCCCCAATCAGAGCGCAGCACTGGGTTTCCCCCACCCCTGCCGGGCGGCCATTTTGAATGAGGGCGCCGGCGGGACTTACGTCATCGGTGAAAATGGCCAGCTTGCCACTTTCCAGCATGTCCTCCAGCTCCTCGTTGGTGGTTGTTCTCCCAGCTGGAAAACAGGTCGGACAATCAAACTCCTCTGCCAGCGTCTCATGACCCATTGCGTGTCGTGTCGGGGCAGAATGGGGGCAAGTCAGGACGGGCAGATGGGCAGCGACGCTGGTGCCAGTCGGGCGTGCTTGTGAATTGGTGTGCCGCCCCGTGCACAGGATGTGCCTACATGCGGGCGTGCCTGCAGGTGAGCTGGGCACACTGTAGCACAGCAGGAACGACAGCATGGCTGTGGCCTGGTTTTCTAAACTCCACTGGTAGCAAAGTTGCTAGAGTGCA